TTCCTTGGTCTTATATTTATTTCAGAATATTTAAGGTTGGAAGGGACCTCTACAGATCATCTAGTCCAACCTTCCTGCTCAAGCAGGCACACCTAGAGCATTTAATCCTTGGTCATATCATCCAAAGCCTCACAAGCCTGATGCCATTATTATAGCTTCTGCTTCCCATTTATTTTGGCTACGAACCTCTCCTAAAGCAAGGAAATAGATGAGCAGAATGTGTTATAGCCTGGATTTTTACGGGGCTTGCATTTACACACAAGCCTGGTGCTGGGCTGGAAAATTCCAGCCCAAATGGATCATATTTCTATCAAATCATAGGCTTGACTTAAAGGCTGAACTTTCAACAAAACTATGTGGCAGCTTCACTTGAAAATTCAAGATTGAATCATTTGCTTATGTTAGACAGCAAAACTTGTTACCAAGACTTATTATACACTCAGARCTAAGACCAGCCTCTTAGCTGGACCTCAATCGCCCTTTGGTGTGGGGATCAAGAGGAAGCACCAGCTGGTTCCCTGCTTCTTGTCACACAGATGTGTGAACTAGAAGAGCTGAGCTCAGCAGAGGCAGCTCAGAACTTGGCCCAACTCAGCTGAGACCACACGCAGCTCCAGGGACTGGGATCTGCCCAGAGCACTTTGGGTGGCGGATGGCCATGCAGACCATGGGGAGATGTCCCCATGGACGCCTGGGGACATGAGGAGGTGGTGAGGCCGGTGAGCAGCCTTGCAAAGCCCTGCTGCAGCCTGCTCACTACCTGCRGCCTGCTACTACCTCACAGCAGCCCCTCAACTCCTTGCACTTCTTCCACGCAAGGGGTGGTTGGAGGAAACAGAGAGCACACCATGTCTCTTCAGGCATGAAAATTATRCATTGCTTGGATTTCTTTTATAGCAATTGCCAGGACAAGTGATCTTTGCCTTCATCTTCTCTTCATCCCAATGCAGCCTGTGATGGCAGTAAGGATTTGAATAGCTTTTTGACAGGTGGGGGCAATGGCAATTGCGGCATGTAATTAAAAACTCATTAAAGCAGAGCTCATTCTCCTCTTTATTTTAAGCATTTAAATAATCCTGCTGTTTAATATGACAAGGCTGAGSGGCCAGGGACAGCTCCTTCCCTCCAGCCCTTGCTTCCAGACTTTTGCTTGGTCATTTGAATTTCAYAGCAAAGCCTCAGGCACCGAGAGCAGGAACCGAGCTTCCCAACCCACCAGGGCAGGTGTTTTTTAGTAGTTAAAACCTAACTTCAAGAAGGCTTTAGGAAGGTGCTACAGACCTCATCTATACCCTGCCCAAGTCCTGTCTTCAGAGAACACCACGCTCTGAGCAGCCCTTGAGCAGATGACAAACCAGGCTGGTATTTTCTACTGTCAAAAGGATGGAGAGAAGCAGCAAAGCTCTGCTTGGCCAGGGAGCAACGCTGACGTTCAGGCAAAACAAAGCTGCACTGGAGCAAACGCAGAGGCTGTCGCAGGGCAGCCTCCTTTTGCTTTCAGCCCTCTTGCCAAAGCCATGGGAGGGCCCCCACCAGCACAGAGCTAGCTCCAAAYCCAGGACTCAGCTACATTTCCCTTCAAACTATTTGAAGTACTTAGTTCTTAGTTCTGAAGCTTCTTTAGTTGAGGAAGAAATATAAATGGCAAAACATTGTGTGCTAACAAAAATCTGTCTTCTCAAACAAAAAAAAACCAGAATAATGTTTTTAACCAACAACAAGGTTACTGCTAAAAGACAAACTGCAGGTTCGAGATGTTTAGGAAGTATAGGAAAGATTCTGAATAACTGTTAGTCACACTATGGCACTAAAACCAAGCTTAATGCAAGAAATAAAATTGATGTGTATTTAGCAACCACGAGGCTGTTTCTTGCTTTACGTGGGTTTTACACAAGAGTAACCAATGCTAATTTCTAGTGGCTTAAATAAGAGAATAGGGTCCCACTGAGTTACACTGCTGTAAGATACTCATGTAAATGAGAACAAGTCTTAAGCCCTGCAAGAATCCAAATCTCTACCCACTCCATCCCATGCGCCTCTCCGGAGTAACAGGGGATTAAGCTCCATTCATCTTAAATGAACGTCATTTATCTCAAGTATTTAACGGGGAAATCCTGCTGAGCTGAGCCTCATTTTCTAGCAGATGCTTTGCAGCATCTATCTCCTAATATTGTTTGTTTATTCGCATTAAGCAGCACCAGGTCATAACCTGTCATGCTGTGGCTTTGAAGGAGAACAAACAAAAAAGATAAGCCCAAATGGTGTCAGATATGATGAGATGTTGAATATATTCCTCAACATCTTTCATTTTCAGAAGAACTTCAGTTTCATTGGAACGGATGAAACCTTTGGGGGAAAGTTTTCCACGCGGCAAATGCTGTGTGGAGAGCAGTGAAATGCTGTGGCTGGGCTAGAGAATCGTTATAGACTCAGAGGAGTGTTGGCCAAGGGCAGAGGCAAGTCCTCCATTGAGCACACCTCAACGCTGCCCCTCTTCCTTCGGCACCTTGTTGTACCACTGCCCCCAGGCAGGACGGGGTTTTGGGGACGGAGGGCAGGTTTACACACATTCTGCTGGCTGCATCAAGGCAGCAGGGGCAAAACTGCTTGGCCACGGGGCAGCAAMGCAGCCAAACAGCCCAAGGAGAGAGATCACAGCTCTCTGCTTCACCCCAAGCCGTGAAGTTTTCTGAAGCCTTCTTGAATCCACCCCATGGGRCAGAGGAGCTCCAAGGTGTGCAAGATGCCTCCAGCGCCACGGCGGCAGGTGCCAACCACAGGAACCCACCACAGCAGAGGGCTGATCTCACAGCAGGGCCTCGAGCAAGAGCTCTGCCAACCTGGACTGCAAAAGCCTCTGTGACAACGAGCTGTCTGCGGAGGACACAGCTGAAAGACGAGGAGGGCAACCTAAAGATCAGTGACTTCACCCAGGGGCACCAAGGTGAGAGAGAGAGGAGGAAAATACCATCATGCCCCCTCCTACCACACCAAATTATCTGTGCTTTGGAAACACTGCTCTGCAGCAGAAAAACATCAGAAAYGAGTAGATGAAACTGCAAAACCACCAAGGCCGCTGGCTGGGCTAATACTATATTTAGGATGCACTGCTTTCCCTCTGCAGGGCACCAAGTGCTCGCCTTGTGTAACATTACGCTCCCTCCAAAGAGGCAAAGATGAAAGGAAACTTCGTTAAGAAAAAAATCTTGCCCCTAAATAAAAAGTCAGATATAAAAACCCACCAGCAAAGCCCTTCGTGCCTTATTAGCACCAATTTAGGTCCTAAATGCAACAGTGTCAAGCAAATCCTTTCCTCCAGAAAAGCCATTTGAAAGGCTCCTGATCTGTTAAAGGCACGGAAATACTATTCAGATGACTGGGCACTGGCAGCAATGCCATCCATCAGGGTGAGCATCCCCCTCCAGGTCTCCAAAACTAMGATAAGGGGCCAGCCTGAGGTGACTTAAAAGCTCAAATTCCAGCCTGTGCTGTAGAAGGAGGCAGAGCCAGCCTGCTGACGGGTTATTTTTTGTTGGTCAATATGAAAACTCATTAGCCTGTTTTTTTGCACTCACCTGCCTGCTTTGCAAGAGCAGCGACCTGTCCCCTTGCACCAGTAAGGGCAAATGGCACAAAACATTGCAGGGACCCTGGAAGCCCTCGAAAGACCRTGAAGTCGTGAAGCACGGTTCTGAGCTTCGGAGGAAATACGACACTTCCTCCGTTACTTCCAGCCTAATTCAGCAAGAAGGAAGGAAATATTTGCTGCACCCTTCAAAAAAGCCTCAAACCCAAGCTCCCCTGGCTCTGTGATGCCATGCTGGGGACTGTCGAGATCAACAATTTTCAGCATAACATTTCAAGAGGGCTTTTTAATACAGATAAAATGGAGGTGCAAGGTGCTCCTTTGCCTTATGACAAGAGAGAAAGCCATGAGCTGACCAGGATGAGCTTCYGAGAGCGCCAGSCCAGGAAGGCAGAGCTGGGCAAGTGCTGCCRAACAGGAACACGTACGTGCCAGAAAGCAGTTTGAAGCAGTCACTGAGTGCAGAGAAGACACTTATTAACGCAGCCATGTGGGCAGGAGACCACTTGAAAGGTCTTTTCCCTATCTAGGTCCTCCAAGCCATGATTCTGCTAGGGAAACACGGTCGTTGGGAGAGGCAAACCCCACGTCGACAAGATCTGTGACTCTCCTTACGCTCCTTGCACGCGCCARCGAAGGAGCCTCTTGCCACCAGGCTGCAGTAAGACAAAATGCCAGGCAGGAAGGGTCCCCAGGGAGCAGCCCTGCTGGATTTTACCTGAGGAAGATGAATGGCTCCAAAACTGAGGTTTTTCTCGCCAAATCATACAAAAGTTTTGTTTTGCATTCAGCTATGTATTATAGCAGCACTTTCAAGGAAAAAGAGAAGACTCAACACCGACAACGTCAACACCTGTGGGTTTTGCTTCRTAAGGAAACTTCAACACCCTTCAAAGCATCAGTAAATGAAGGCTGAATAAAGGAAAGGGGGGGAAAAAAAAAAAGGAGAAAGTCTAGAAGCAATAAAGCTGGAAAAATACTTACCCGAGCTAAATGGGTTGGTTTGCAGATAGGTTGCAGGACCAAAATGCTGCTAATCAATCTTTATGGGACATGTTACAATTTGCCTTCTACATTTTCTAAGTATCAAATTGATTCCTCCCAAGATAAAGCACCTCCTGCCACACTGTATCTCACATGCTCCCCTGAGGAGCTGCCCTTATAGGGTCAGGCCTCATGTCCCAGAGGTCAACAGCTGCTCTCGTTTTGCACAGCCTGATAAACCCCATGCCAGCAAGGCAGATGTTATCACCTCCTCCTGGCAAAACTGGAGACCAGGATGGGACGAACAACACCATGGGCTACCAACGTGCCCCAGATTATAATAGTGCTTCTGTACTATACTACATACAGAAGAATGAAGAGAAGAAAACAGMATACTGATGGAAAAAAGCAGTAGCACTGTGCAGCTCACCTTGAYCTCAATGAAGTCCGGTTTACCGAGGGAAACCAGCTCAGCATAAGCTTTGAGTTCATCCACGTTCCAAGCTTTGACCAGCGTCAGCCTGTAGACCGTGCGCTGTTGCTGAAAGAGAGGGAAAAGGGCACAGTGACACTCCGTGACGCCCAGCCTCCAAAAGCAAAGAAAATTCATTAATCCCTTCTCAGGAAACCAAAGGCCACCTCACTTGTTCTTTCTAAAAAGCTATCGGTGCCACTCATGAACTGAGCCAACTTGGGTTCTACAATGACTTTATCTTCTCTCTCTATACCCCAAACAACCGATGCTTTYTTTATAGAAGCATTTGTTTAATGGCAAAATAACCAGCAAGTTTATTTCACTTTGATTTGCTTCCCCAGGCATAAAGTCTCACCATTAGTTGCTACACAGATATTTCATTTCCTCCAGATGGATCATCTGGCATCGGTCATTTCTGGACAGGATGAGCCAGAAGAGACAGACCATTGTCCGCCCCAGTCTGGTAACTCTTGCAGCACATTAGGTACAACAGAGCAGGGAAAAACGGCTCTCCTGTGATCAGTTAAGCCAAAYGTTTTATGGGAAGCAAAAAAGCGACAATTAAAATCACAACCAAGAAACATCCCAATTGCTCTGCTCAGGAGCCAGCCCATAAAGCCGGYGGTGCAAGTCGTTAGGAACCAACACACGATGGCCACAGCGTTAACAGCTACAAGAGCAGCGTCCCCCCGTCATCGYCCGCCTGTTCCTGCTTAACCGTCCGGCTCTGCCTCCCAGCACCTCCTGACAAGCCTGTKATTTCCAATTGGCAACGGGAGACAAGCACAGAAGCTGAGCACTGCACCTTCTCATTGCACTGATGCAGCTCCTCGGATGCCCAAACTTTAGTCCAATCTTTACTCATTCCTGTATACAGCTGCAGATCATACTCAGAAAATGTCTTGTTTTGGAGTGATTTCCAATTTCCCTCTCAGGGCAGCTCCCTGAAGCAGCTACAGGCATCCCAAGGACATCTGCCACCTCCAAGATTGGGAGTCACTTGGCCATGGGACAACTCCACGCTTGGCTGCTTGGATCTGCTTGTTTCTTCCACCATCTCCCTTTGCCTTCTGTGAAATCCCAGAGTTTGGTGAAATAAACTGTTATTTATAGAGCAATCTTCTGGCAAAATTGGTTTTTGAATTAACTCATTTCAATTCTCGGGCACAGAGCAGTAAAATGGGGCACAAGCAGCAGCTCCCCTCCAGCAAAAGGGCCCAGTGACCCAGCCAGGATGACCAAAGACTTGGCAATTGGTGCTCAGCAACGTGCCAAAGGCAGCAGCAGCAAGTGCTTCTGCTCCGAAGAAGGTCAGACCTCCGTCACTTGAATTAAAAGCCACCTCTACCTCTCAGCCACAAGCGGGTTCCCAGCACAGCATTGCCCCACAGTTCATGCTGTCTGCAGTAGGCACGTGCTCTGCTCCAGTTGTCAGTCTGTGTTTGTGGAAAAAAATGGCAAGATTGGTACCAGAAACTGTCTTGAGCATCCCATCGCTAAAGTTCTTTGTGCTGTATGCAAAAAAAAAAAAAGCATGGAAAATCTTCCAGGAGATAAAATTTATGTCTACAAACAGTCAACAGTGTTTTCTCCTTTGTGTGTGTGTGGTTTTTTGTTTGTCTGTTTAAAGAGTTAATTTTTGAGCTTCTTAAAAAATTAAGCATCCGTAGAATGACTAACATTAAAGAATTAATGAGAAAATGATTAAAGGCCAGATAATGACATACATTGACAGATCCGGTCCTCCCTTTTGCGCTCTGCTTTTAAACACATTAAGCTTAGGAATGAGAGAGGGAGGCTCTTACGATTCCAGTGAACTGGCAGAAGAAAAGTTCAGGCCAGAAAACAGTCGAGTATGAAATCCAGAGTTAGTTTATTAAATAAAAATAATATAAAAATGAGAGCACTAATAAAAATAAAGGAAAAATTACCATATAACAGGAACAGGAAAACAGAAACAGGAAAAATAGCTCATGAGAAAAACCTGAGATATGTGTCCACCTGTCAATGGTCTGAAGGGATTAGATACCCAATTAATCAAGAAACATCTCCCCAAAGGTCAACGCTGACTAGTAAACAAACAGAGGTAGCTCCAAAGCAGCAGGAAATACAGCCACGGGCCTCAACAGCCCCACCAAAACCTTTGGATCGGGCACCTCCAGGTCCCGCGTGCCGCACTGGGAACCAGGCCCTGCCTCAGCTAAGCAGCAGCGCAACACGAAACGAGGCCTCAAGGAGCCCTCTTTTTTGTTGTTGTTCTTTTTTTTTTTCCCTCTCCACTCTTTTTAGGGGGTGGGGGAGGTAATTGCATGCTAAAATTAAGAACAAATTTCTGAATTTCTGTGTTGAGCCCAACTGTAACTCGGCAGTGCCCCCACAGCAACACGGGGGAAATGGTGAGTTAGAGCCTCTCCCTTCATCGAGGACAGACCCGAACCTTAACGATATGAAGAACACAAGAAAATCGTTTGTGGGAGATGGGAAGGAARTCTCACAAAAGCTGCTACCAGGCACTCAGGCCCCAGAGGGGACCCACACCAGAGGGGACCATCGCAACTCAGAAAAGAGCAGCTGCAGACCATGGATAAGTTCACCGTGCTCAAAGAAAACATCATTTACACAAGTTAACTTTACCGGAGAAATCACGTTCTTTGCCAAAAAGCAACATAAACTATGCATTAAAAAAATCCCAGCATGTTCTACCGAGAAACAGGTGAAATGAGATTGCAAAGCCTGCCAAACAAGGCTATGAAAAGGAAACAAGTACACTCAGTTTAGGTAAAATACATAAGCGTGCATTGTCTCTTACAGTAAGGTCTATACAAAGAGATGCTTTTCCTCATCCCTTTTAAATCTCAGTTATAATACTCTCAAAACTACTTCCTAATTCACTTTAGGAGTCTAGCTCTAAAGTTCAACTGATTCATAAAGCTACAGCTGCTACAGCACATCATTAGAGGGTTTTTTCTCCCAAAAGGACAGCGTTAACTGACAATTAATAACCGCAGTCAGTTTATATTATCCATCACTTCAATGAGKGAGCTATCACAAAAACATAATGTCAGGTACTCCTCACTGGTGGGGAAGGCAGCACGTCAAACAAATTAGAGTATTATCCACAAGCATGCAGAAAAAAGTTACTGAGAATCACAAATTTATCCTGCAGCTGAAGTACCACCTTTCCAGAGGGCCATGTCCCTCACACGTCATCTGCGTACACAGAGAAAAGCCACTTTTTAAAAGTGGTATAAACGACAGATCAGAATGACTCAAGGCCTAATACTGCAAAGGGGTATATACAAGTAATCCTTAGACTGCTGGCAGTAAAAATACATTAATAAAACAGGATTGTGTATTATTTGTATTTGGTTGTACAATAGTGCCCCAGGAGATCCTGTTATAAGCACTGAAAATGTAAGACAGAGGAGTTTAAGCCCTGAGAATTTAATGATCTAAAACACAAGGATATAAAAAACCAAGAGCAACGCTCTGCACCCCACGTTTCCAGGAAAAGCAACCATTATTCCAATTCAGACAGCCATCAGAATAACATTAGTGTAAAAGAAGTTAATGTTATAACAAATCTTTCAAATGGATGAAAGTTGAGGGTGTGGAACTCAATACCCTTTAATGTCTGAAAACTATTCAGACGATCAGTCTTCCAGGAATCAGCAACATACAGAGGAGCTGCAGTTGACGTTGCTCCTGGAGCCCTTGTGTTGCTTTGACAAGTGTCCAGCGCAACCTGCCCATCTTCTAGGGCTGGATTGCCTACACACACCAAGCCCACCTTGCACACAGGCTTACGGAAGCAACACACATGCCACCCATCAGCTAAGAAAGGATAACAAGAGATGSAAAAACCAGGAGAAGACCATGCAGGGTGATTGAGCATTGGAAGAGTCTCCATTTTCCATTGTCCAGATTCTCCATTCTTGGAGATACTCAAAACGCCCTGCTAGACATAGCACTGAGCAATCTGTTCTAGTTAAGAACAGGTTTGGGGAATGGATCAGAACATCTCCAGAGGTCCCTCCAAACTCAACTACTCTGTGATTGTGAGTTCAAGTCTCTATTTGCTATAGCTATAGAGTAACAGATTTTTCTGAAGCCCCTTTTAGCAGAGATTCAAGGGCAGCTTGCATATCACCTCTTCACAAACCTCTGCAATGTGTGATGGGAAACAGCAGCTTTTGGAAAGCGCTCCCTTGGACCAGGCTAACATCCACACAAGGCAAGAGTTTGCAGTGGTGAAAGAAAGCCCGTTACTGTGGGAGGCGGAGAGCCCTTCTTCCCACCAAGTTACAACCATGGGAGGTCGGATAACAGCAATTCAGACCTTGAGGAGGAACTGGAAGAGCACAGAAATGAGTGGTCAAGTACACTAAAGCAAATCCATCCAAGGCCGGGGAAGCCTGAAGAACTTCTCAAGTAACGCTAAAAGTCCAGAGTTGATCGGAACGTTACAAGCCATAAAGTCCACGTGACTTGACATGAGCCACACTCGAGGCATTTCCAATCAAACACAACCTGGCCTTCCGAGTAGCAAGTGATTGCACTCATCTAGCTTGGACTAAATGAGAATGTTTATCAGCAATTTTCAGCCTCTTACTGATCAGGATTGTGGCTGGAGAACATGCTCTACAAAGATGATCTCCAGAACAGATCAATTGACTGTTAAAGGATTTTTTTTTTCCAGTTATGAACACTCAAAAGCCTAATAAAGTTTTCTAGTCAGCAGCTCTTTGGCTGAGAATCCATTTTTATACACACTGAACTACAGCCTAATCTCCCACGTCTTTTGAACCTTATTACGTGGAGGATCCATAAACCATGCTGGTATGGGCAGCACACTTAAGGAAGATATTGGTCTTCCTCTGTCTTTGCATTCTGAAGCCTGCGCTGCAACCGTCACACTTTCACAACGGGTCTCAACAGCACCATTAAATAAAGGCCAGCATGGGCTTATGTGCCAGAAAGCACATTTTGGACAGAAAATGTTGGCAGGAGGTCAAGTCACCTGCGTGCCCAGGGCTGTGCCGAGCCCGGGTGGGACACAGAGCCCA